AATAGTAGTTGTAGCAGTACCAACGACACCATCAGAACCAGTAGTTGGCTCTTCCGTAACAATACCAGTATGGGTTTCACCATTGGAGTCAGTCCAAGTAACTGATGTAGCACCTGAACCTGCACCACTTGAGGTAGTGACTGAACCACTTGAAGCAGTAATAGGAATAGTAGTTGTAGCAGTACCAACGACACCATCAGAGCCAGTAGTTGGCTCTTCCGTAACAATACCAGTGTGGGTTTCACCATTGGAGTCAGTCCAAGTAACTGATGTGGCACCTGAACCTGCACCACTTGAGGTAGTGACTGAACCACTTGAAGCAGTAATAGGAATAGTAGTTGTAGCAGTATGGGTTTCACCATTGGAGTCAGTCCAAGTAACTGATGTAGCACCTGATCCAGAGGCAGACGAAGGGTGTGCTATTGAACTATTTGGATAGAAGTTTGAGGTAAAACTTGAAGATGGTGGGATCATTGAGCTAATGGATCCAGAATTGGAGATACTTTCTGATGTATGTGAAAAACTGATCCAGTTTGAACCCATGGAGCTTGAGAAAGATGAGCTTTCTGACTCACCTGGAATGAAACTTGTAACTGAAGAGGACAATTCACTTGATAAAGAGCTTGAGAGTGATGTAGATGATAATCCACTTGCGAAAGATGAGTTTGATGAAATAGGAATTTCAGACTTTGAGAATGAAGAGGTTGGATAGACTGAAGAGTATTCACTTGATAATGATGAGCTTGGAGACTGGGGACCAGATGAAATGACACTGGAGGACCCCGAAGAACTAGAGCCTAATTCAGAACTGGCCAAGGAAGAAGTACTTGAAGGGAGTGATGAAATACTTGAAGACTCTTGTGATGAAATACTTGAACTTGTAGATGAAGAAGAAGTAACAGTGAATGTTGGTGTTTCAAGAATAGCAACAACATCAGTAGCACCAGATGGATATGGGTAAATGAAAGAGGTTGTGGTGGATCCTGAATATGGTAAAGTGACAGTGGTATATCTTGTACTAGCTGAATAATTTGCTCCTGGGGTTTCAACAATAACAATGACTTCTGTTGCGCCTGATGTAAATGGTTCAGTGTAAGTACTTGTGAACCCTTCATTCCAAGGTAATGTAACAGTGGTGTATGTTGCTCCAGTATAGTTAGAAGTAGGAGTTTCAACGACAACAATAACTTCAGTAGCACCAGATGTTATTGGGTTTGTATAAGTACTTGTGAATCCTTCTCCCCATGGTTTAGTCAATGTGGTATACCTTGTAGTTGTTTCATTGGAAACTGGAGTTTCCACCACGACGATAATATCATAAGCACCAGAACTATAAGGAACAGTAGAAGTTGTTGTATAATGATTATCCCAAGGCAAGGTTAAAGTAGTGAAACTTGTTGTTGGTCTTGGCTCTTCAACAATAACAGTCAATTGTGATTGACTGGAAGTAAAGTTTTTTGTGTAAGTTGAAGTGTAAGACTCATTCCACAATGTTGTTTCAGTGACAAAATGTGTTGAAGGGCTTGCTAACTGAACAACTTCTGTGACAGTTTTACCTTCACCAGTTGTGAAAGAAGTTGAATCAAAATCTTTACACCATGTTTGTGTTGATGTAACTGTAGCAGCAACGTCTAAATGAATTGTTAGTAAATGAATTCAGATTTTTTCAAAGTGAACGGATACTTACCATGGTCTTTACCTGGTTGACCTGCATCAATAGTTCCCATATCAACACTTTGACCATCGGTAAAAGTTGAAAAATCCATGCAAGCAAAACTCAAAGAACGCACGATCGAGACAGAGGCGGTGGATGACATGTTTGCAAAAGTGGAGAAAGCCAAACGAGAACCTTTGTAAATTGGACCAAATTGGATAGTAACTCGGCGGCCTGAACTGTCAAAATCTTGACTTACAATTTGAATTGATTCTGTCTTTGTTGGGAACCCAAATGGACTAACCTCGCTCGCAATGAAGATTTCTGTCAAGTCGAAGTTCAATGGTACGGTAATATAATTGGCCGTAATGCTAAACTCTAATGTACCACCTAAAATACCTGCACTTGAAGAACAAACACTAGTTGGGGACAAATAGTAAGCGAATAGATCATTTTTCATGGTATACCAAGCTTGAACATTGGTGTTATTGATGTCTGGTTGTGCAAAATCAACAGCATTTGTGAGATTTCCATTAAATGTGATTTCATTAATACCTTGGGCCCAGTGAGCGGCAATAGCTGTGTTTTCAAGACGACCACCACCGTCAAACATTATATCAAAAGTCAATTCACCAGAAATTGCACCAAAACTTGAAATGTCACGGATAATTTGACAGTTAATTTTTGAAGAGTTGGCTCTACCACCTGCTTGAACAAAAGAACAACTTGCAATATTAGCATCAACATTGAGATAAATATCAAAGCTTTGACCAAAGTTTTCCTGTTGAGTTGAATTGACATGTCTAATTTCATAAACATAAGGCATATCAAGGCTGAACTTATCACCGGTACCAATTTCCATTGAAGGATCTATTGACCAGCCAATAACAACTCTGTAAAGGTCCATAGGATAACCATTACCACTTTGCAACTGAATAGAATTGAAGGAGTTGAAGATTTCATCAGCCTGTTTAGCAAACGCTAACCTGGCTAGAAGACAAACCAAAAATGCTCCAGCAAAAGACGAAAAATTTCGCAGCATTTTTCAGTTTTGTTAACTTTTCAAAATTCGTTTGGGAAAAAAGAAAGTGTCAACATTGATAGGGAAATATACCTTCCACTTGATTCCTTATATATAAATAAAGAATAACAAGATTTCTCAATAAAAAAAAAGAAAGACCTGACACGAGAATGTGCATTTTTTAGATCTATGCCCGAAGTCCTTATGAAGACCTTATGCAGTAGGATTTTGGTATGCTTCGACTAATTCAGCCAGATATATGCACCAAAAGCTTCGATTTAGATCTAAAAGCCTGGTTTCGTAAACCTTTCTATGCATCCCGCTAAAGTCTAACCGATCTTTTCAGTAGTCTCTCTCCTACCTGAACCATTGTTAAAAAACAATCAGTACTAAGCAAATTTTAAGTTTAGGGTATTCAACCAAAACTCTTGGAAGTGGGCCGGTTTTTGAAAGTTATGGGTATGATTCTAAAAGGATTGGGTACATGACAATGGTATGAATTGTAAAAATGTGTATGAAAATTGGAAGGGGAAATAATCTTTAAACGGAATTTTTGGTCTGTGAAATAATATATGATGTAGGGAATAATTATTCAAAGCATTCCATGATGAGGAAAATAACAACAAGTATATGTTTGAAAATGTTCTTTTGACCAATTGTTCGACAGCCTATGAGCAGCAAGATTCACCTGAAGCTTGATTATAGATGGTGGTAGTCTATTGGTGCTGATTGTGAACCTGTCACGAAAAGGCCTCCAATTTTCGCTTCACGAAACATGTACGCGTTACAAGCGACTTTTGACTCTTGACTAACACAATTGCAAATACGAGATCCAGGATCCCACAAGTAATGTACGAAGAGCACGCGCCTCACATACAATGAGCATCATCGTATCTTGAGTGCTTCAAACCTCACATTAAAAGGGTAGCATTCTAACCGTTGTGCATTGCCTTCAAACAGTCTTGTGTTTCTTCTCAAAATGAATCAAAATTCACGGTTAAAGAGTAGCCAGCTTGATACATTAAGCACCACATCTTCCTTATACCATAAGCCAGTATTGATCTCTAAGGGAGCTACTCACCTTTGCTAGTCATCAACACTTGTTTAGTGTCCGTCTTTTCTATCAACCAGATTTTGTCGAAAAAAAAACCGCGAATACGACATCCAGACACCACAGACACAATGTGGGCGTAGACAGCCGTGGACCTATACCATACGCACATAAGAAGGTCTACTTTGGAGAGTGCAGGCCCCATTGAGCTGTATCAACGGCTTTGGTCGAATCAAGCTGGGCTGTCTTCTGAAAAGGGTGAGCCAGCTTGCCCAGGGGGACCAAAATGAGTCTCTAATTCTGTGTGGAAGGGTGCCAGGCTTCAGCACACGCTGAACAATAGGTCCTTTCTGACTCCTTACACATCGAACCGAGGGCCCAACGTCTAGAGACTAGAAACCAACCAGGAGAGCTCTTATGTATATACAACTACACATGTGTGTATATTTGTATGTTGTGAATTGATGATGTATATGAGCTGGGTGTACTTCACTCAAAAAGTCAGATAATGTTAAAACAAATGAGCTTCTTGTGATTCATTAATCTAACTGATTAGATTTAGTTCCTTATGTAAGTGATTCTATGAAAACTATACGAATCACATACGCGTAACGTTCTCTGAAAATTAGTGTTTTGATCCATTACTTTGGGGCGGCGGTCGCGTCTAAATATTGCAAGCTAGAGAAGCTAGAGAAGAAAGATTTTAGCGATTAGTGAGGCGTTGACTTCAGTTTATATAGATCATTTAGCAGGCTCGACGTCAGTTAAGCACTACTCATCAGACGCTACCAGGATTAGTAGATAGCTTTCTTGAAAACATGAACACATCATCCAGATGTAACATAAATGTGGAAACACTCTCAAAAAGATTCAATTTCCCTAGACTTTCAATCTCATCGTATGAAGTATGAAGTTCTGCGAAAACTTCTAAGCCCATGGCCTTGTCTTGTTTATAAACACTTGTTTATAACCACTTGAGGCTTCCTGAAGCCATGACTGAGTGGTAATAAGAGTAGTATTTAGTAATTGATGAGCCATCTTGAAGAAATTGAGCCTGTTTGAATTTTAAATCACTAAATCGCAGCAGACTCGACGATAGAATGATAGTTTAAGCTTAGGGCAGGTTCCTTCCAAGGTATCTTCGTATATTTTTCATTGGCTGCTTAAACAGTTCATTTTGAAGAATATTACTGCTCTGAAAAAAATTCCGAATGGTTTCGCGACAACAAATTGACGCTAAAACCAGCTCATAGTTAAAACTCAAAACTAAGGCAGCTATTATGCCTGCTACTTTAGATCTACAGATTACATGACTTTACTCAAAACTTGTTCAAATTCTGACCTTAAATCGCACGGAGAAACTTCTGTGAGCTCCAGAATAATTATCTTCTACGATGGTCACGTGACCGGAAATGAAAATATTCCTTAACTTGGTTATAACATCAAAATCAAATGATAAATATACAATTTTTTTCACTTTTATCAATTAACAAATATTAAATAATATTTTGAACTCTTCAACTGTTGTATATGAGTCGAATTGGAAGTTCTTTAAAAATCACTTTTTGAATTTTAAAAATATTGTTGACATCCTATTTCTTAAATTTATTTGAAAAGTTTATAAAGTGATATACACAAAATTTAAAAATCACTAAAATTGTGTTCATTGAATAGTGAATTCAGTATTTTGTATTTTAAGTATTTTTTAAAAGTATTGTTCCTTACAAAAAGCTGTTGTTATTTCTACTTGAAAATCGTAATTTCCAGTCTTTAAATTATTTTTCAATTATATTTCGCGGATGCTCTATCACTTTGATTTTTCGCACTGCAGGAGCGAGCACATCTGAGCTATATCATATTGGCTAGAAAAACAAATTACACCAATTTTTTTTACGTCAACGTTTATAAATCAAATCAATTCAATAAACTTCAGGAAGTAAGAAGCTGCCCAACCTTCAATCGGGGTTGCCTTGGGAGTGTCTCGAACTCTGATCAAACTCTGTGCTTAGCCTTTTCTTTGAATCTCACCAGTCAAGCTTGATGTAACACCTCACTCTCTTGTAGTTATGTATAAAGACATAATATTCTACGAGATGAAATTTCTATTAACCATCATTATATATTAATCATACTATAAAAGTTAGGATCCTTCTTCAATCGTATTCTAGCTTGAATTCAGAAGAATCACGATTGCAAAATGAACCAAATGAAATAAAAAGATGTAGAATGCCTTGAGCAATATCAAGAGCCCACACTCTAAAAGAATTTCAACAAAAAGTAACAAACAGAATTAAGAAAACAAACATAAAAACTTCATAAAATGTTTTGGTAGAAACCTTGGTGAACGTACCTTGGTGAACGTGAAAACAAACCATAACATGGAAAACAGTTGCTTCGAAATATGAAGTCTTAATTTCCAAAACGAAACAAAATCATTAAAGACGAAAAAGAATGAAAAAATAAAACAACACAAGGTGATATAAATCACTCATGTTAGGGAATCAAATAAAAAATAAGAAAGCTAAAACAACAAACTTGGAGACACCAAATCTAGGTGCAGATGCCTCAAATGTGCTGATAGCTGGTGCAGTTCCAGAACCTGTTCCAGAAGCTGAAAGTTGAGGCACAGTTGTTGCCAATGTTGTTGCACCACCAGATCCTGTTGCAGATTTGCTAATAGAAAATGTTGATTCTGTTGGAACACCGGAACCTGCTGGTGATTCTATTGTAGTTGGAGTAGCTTGACCTGGATTGGATGGACCAGATGGAGTAGCTTGAGTACCTGGGTTAGATGGACCAGATGGAGTAGCTTGGGTACCTGGGTTAGATGGACCACTTGGACCAGATGGAGTAGCTTGGGTACCTGGGTTGGATGGACCACTTGGACCAGCTGGAGTAGGTTGAGTGCCTGGATTGGATGGGCCAGATGGAGTAGCTTGGGTACCTGGGTTAGATGGACCAGTTGGACCAGCTGGAGTAGGTTGACTGCCTGGATTGGATGGGCCAGATGGAGTAGCTTGGGAACCTGGGTTGGATGGACCACTTGGACCAGCTGGAGTAGGTTGAGTGCCTGGATTGGATGGGCCAGATGGATTAGCTTGGGTACCTGGGTTAGATGGACCACTTGGACCAGATGGACCAGTTGGAGTAGGTTGAGTACCTGGGTTAGATGGACCAGATGGAGTAGCTTGGGTACCTGGGTTTGATGGACCACTTGGACCAGATGGAGTAGCTTGGGTACCTGAGTTAGATGGACCAGATGGAGTAGCTTGGGTACCTGGGTTTGATGGACCACTTGGACCAGATGGAGTAGCTTGGGTACCTGAGTTAGATGGACCAGATGGAGTAGGTTGAGTACCTGGGTTGGATGGACCAGTTGGACCAGTTGGAGTAGGTTGAGTACCTGGATTGGATGGGCCAGTTGGGACGCTTGGGCCACCAGAAGTAGGACCAGTTGGAACACTTGAACCACCAGAAGTTGGACCAGTTGGAATACTTGAACCACCAGAAGTAGGACCAGTTGGAACACTTGAACCACCAGTAGGAACGCTTGAACCACCAGAAGTTGGACCAGTTGGAATACTTGAACCACCAGTAGGAACGCTTGAACCACCAGAAGTTGGACCAGTTGGAACGCTTGAGCCACCAGTAGGAACGCTTGAACCACCAGAAGTTGGACCAGTTGGAATACTTGAACCACCAGAAGTAGGACCAGTTGGAACACTTGAGCCACCAGAAGTTGGACCAGTTGGAACACTTGAACCACCAGAAGTAGGACCTGTTGGAACGCTTGAACCACCAGAAGTTGGACCAGTTGGAATACTTGAACCACCAGAAGTAGGACCAGTTGGAACACTTGAGCCACCAGAAGATGGACCAGTTGGAACACTTGAGCCACCAGAAGTTGGGCCAGTTGGAACACTTGAGCCACCAGAAGTAGGACCTGTTGGAACGCTTGAACCACCAGAAGTTGGACCAGTTGGAATACTTGAACCACTAGTAGGAACGCTTGAACCACCAGAAGTTGGACCAGTTGGAATACTTGAACCACCAGTAGGAACGCTTGAACCACCAGAAGTTGGACCAGTGGAATACTTGAACCACCAGTAGGAACGCTTGGAACCACCAGAAGTTGGACCAGTTGGAACACTTGAA